GAGCGATGCGATAACAGAACATAATCAGATTGAAAACAAATAAATGTAATTCCAACATGTTGAGAGCGATCCTATACCTTGCCATGTGCAATTTCGTACGTGGCTGTCTCGGCAGTCAAAGTGAAGCGATGTTTTGATTGGTGCCGAGCCTCCCTGAGAAGCTGGGGGTAACCTCGGGGTATCAAATCGAACTCAGCTGGCTTCTGATTGGAGCGCGAAATGCTATTCGAGAGTAGATGACGTGGTTTGTGCTCAAAGGTAACCTTGGGGGTACTTGCTGGGAAGTTGTGGGTAACCCCGCGATGGTGACCTTGGGGTCTCCCGCGATTTCAAAGTAAATGTTGCGGGATGAATTTTGGGATGTATAGGCTGCCGCGCGAGAAAATGAGGAGGCGGGGTCGACGGGGAGAAGCGCGAGGGAAATGACGAGGCGGGGGCGACGAGGTTCCGCGCTAGGGAAATGACGAGGCGGGGGCGACGCGGACTAACGCGTGGGAAATGACGAGGCGGGAGCGACGAGGTGAAGCGCGTGGGAAATAGCGAGGCGGGGGCGACGAATAGAAGCGCGTGGGAAATCGCGAAGCGGGGGCGACGAGGAGAAGCGCGTGGGAAATCGCGAGGCGAGGGCGACGAGGAGATGTTGAATTAAAGCAGTGACGCGACTAAATCAGTCACGTGCACGGGAAGAAACAGGCACAGACGGATTCACTTGCACACATCCGCGCATGCCACATTTCGATCGGTTCTGGTCTCGCGCTAGCGCGCGCTGCGCCGTGCCTAAACGGGCTCATCACTAGATTCGACTATTCGCCGCGGGAGGAGCTATAGCTATGCTACTCAGTGTCGAGCGGCTTTGGTCCCGCACATTTAGTCAGGGGGTAGGCAGGGTGTGTTCGAGATGGGCGCTGCTCATTTCTCATGTGGCTTGTGTTGAAGATGTTGCAATTGGGGTGGTTCTGTCGAGGGTTGCAGGTGCTGCAGGAGTGTTCATTCTGCCTTGACGGTCCAATCAGAAGATGCTGTTCCTACACATGATTGGGTGAGGAGCAGGTTTGCTCGCAAACGCATTCACAATGCTATCGCCAACCACACATGCGATCCCCTGAACTCTGATTTTCTTTTGCTCCCCTCCCGTGGGGTACATGCCTCCTTTCTTTTGGCGCGTAAACTCTGGCCATCCACCCGCACTCCTTCCCGCCACTTCACCCATTTCAACCTGGACCCAACTAGAAAACGGGGTCACTATTTTGCCTGCTCGCTTTAAGGATATGTATAGTAGCGGCCTGACTGGTCATCTTATTACTAGTTAGTTCCTCGTCAAAATTCGCAATTGCTGGTTACGCAGGCTCGTAGATTAAGTACGAACCGCTGAAGGCGAGGATCAACGGCTAGTGTGTCTAACCGCCACTGGTTACTCTGTTAAAACCGCGCGTTTCGCAAAAAAAAGGGAAAAAAACGCGGCGCGGTAATTTCTCCCGCAGACCTAGTAGTACGCGGACCCCTCTCATTCCGATCGACGCCGTGCTGCTGGATCGTAACGATCGGGTGTCAGATGAAAACAATCGGCGCGTTCTCGGGCATCAGCGGCAGAAGCGCTTATAAGGGCGGTGTGCTCCGGTCTTGGCACCATCGCTTTCAAGACCATCGATCCTTCGGAGGCGTCCTATAAGCATCCAGAGTTGCGACAGGTGGTTGTGCGATTGGCTGGGACAGGCACTGGAACAAATCATCTCGCAGAGGCGATTCGGGCACTTGATGATGCACCCACAGTGCCGTCGGAGGGAGATACAGCGGCTGACAGCAATGCGGTAGTGTTCGAGGACGTGGCTCAGATGTTTGCCTGGGACCCACACCCAGTGTACGGGGCACGCCCGTTGTCATACGCATCACTGCTGCTGGCACAGGAGGTAGCTGGGCGATTAGACACGGTTGCGGCAACTACAGAAACCGGGGCTGAAATGACAGAGCAAGGTGAGACGCTCGACTTTCTTTGTGTCATTACATGCATGGGTTTGTTTTATTCGCGCATTGTATCTCACTAAGCCCCCCCACTACCGCTTCACACATTCACTATCTTGGGTGTCTAATGTCAATGCGGTTCCACGTTTCCCTCACTAATGCATTTGTGCTCCTATGACATGCTTCGTCCCTCTTGCAACGGCCCGTGTGTAGAAGAAGTTGTGGCCACCCTGGCAGAGATTGGGGAAGTCAGGGATCGCGGGTGGTGGGACGACACGGGGGAAAACCCGGAACCCAGTATTCAACCACCAATGGGCCGTGATGCACAAGCCAATGTCAAGGCCAGAGAAGGGGGGAGGCGGTGGGTGCGCAAGGCGAAAAGAAGTAGGCGCGCCAAGGCTACGGAGACAGGAGGTACTGATAGGGGGATTGATCCACCCGAAGGCATGGCAGCTGTTGAAGAAGTCAGTGTTGCCCAACGGTACAGCATACACTTTCATCATGTGATGACGTGGTGTGCCACGCTTGCTAAAGAGGGCCGGCCCATGTCTCCTAGTGATGTAGCAGATGAACTTGCTTTATCTGCAGAGCATTGGGCTGGAGATCACTCAAGATGTGCACGGCATGGCATTATCCCGCGGTGTGTAGCCGATTCGTGGGGTCCCGAGAGTGCGGTATACGAACACGGTGGCACCACACATCTTGCTTTTTGCGAGTGGCTAAGTAAGCACTGTAGCGCGGAGAAGATGCAACCATTCGTCCTAGGAGCGTCGAGCTGGTTGAACGAATCCTTTCACTCCGTCATATGCAAATACGCGCCGAAGAGAATTCACTTTCGTGGAAGTATGGAAGCAAGGATTGCTCTCTCCGTACTTCACTGGAACAACACTGTTGAGCGGCTTGTGAGAAGACATATTGTGAGGCTACGGCGTGCAACGCGTGTGCGACGAGGGAAAAAGGGTCGCGTGCTTGGGCCGATGAATTGGCAATGGACCAAAGATATTTTCAACGAGTGGCGTCTCTCCTCCTCCATCACACCTTAGAGATATACAGTTATCGGGTAAGTTATGTCTTTGTTATCATTGTTGTACATAAGCACTTTCATTGCACGCCGTAAATGACACCATGTGTGCTCACGCCATTTCATGCATCAATCATAACCATACCTTTTTAACCATGCTTTTGTGTTGGACTAGGTGCGGACATATTAGGGAGGCCATTCATGACACCACGCAAGCGTGGGCGAAGCGTGCCACAAGAATAGTGCATCACGAGGTGCCTTTCTTACATCCGCTGCATCAAAACCTCACCACTCACACCCCTCTTCCCCCCCCCCCCCCCACCCCTCCCCCCCTCCCTCTTTGTCCCAAATCACACCCCCCCCCCCCCACCGCTGCATGTGCAACTCCATCCCCCCCATTTGGTTTCTCCCCTCCTCCCCCCCCCCATTTCCCCCTTACCCTCCGGTGCATCCCTCCCCCCCTTTCCTTCGCACTCACACCTCCACCCAACCCCGCTGCTATGACTCTCACTGCTGGAAATCTTATGTTCCCTCCGGCGATCTACGATCACACTCCCAGCTGTCCTTGCAATGCCACCCACACTCAACCCCCAAACCCCTCACACTTTCCCATTCCCCCCTGCTATTGCGACTCACCCACCCACCGATGGCCATCATTCACACACGCGGGACACTTACCCACACTCACACCTTCCCACTTTCGTACATCCGCTGCTCCTGTCTGCTTTTGATATACCTAAGCAGTATCCCTATTCCCTCGATCCCCTGCCCTCACTCACCTATCTCTCTGATTTGTCTTTCCGTTCCTTCCCACACCGACTATGAGCATCGAATCATTCGGTCCTTTCCATCCCCACCCACCTTAGTCACACCCCTCCGCCCCCACTCAACCCATACCCTTCTCTCAGTTGCTCACCTTCCTTCCCGTCACTCCCACTCCCCACATGTGCTCTCGATTACCCGCTTCGGCCCTTGCGGCCCACCCCAACCTGTTACGGTATCTCCCTCAACTTTGACCACTAATCACTCCACACTGGCTATACCCTTGGCAGGTATGATGGTGGTACCTACTCCCTCTATAATCGCTTTTTTGTTTTTTTCCCTTTTCCACCCAACAAGTAAACAATACTAAGACGCCCTCCACTCGCTTCCGTTTTTCTATGATTTTCCACACCACAGGCTCGCCAAACTATCCGCCCTTGGGTCATACGCCCGGCTCATCTTCCATGGACATTGAGCAGAGATATTTTTATTCCATTATATTTGGGGCTTCTAGCACCTTATCTCCGTCTGTGTGTCTGCGAACAGCATGTATTTATAGGAGTTAACTGCCTCTCCACATAGGTTCTTTGCTAGTATCACACAACGGTGTTTCCCGACCAGCTGCCAAACAGTGGCCATATCCTCAACGTCTGAAAGCTGGGACGTTCAATTTGTTTCATGGACGCACAACCCAAGGCATCAGTAATGCACAAGTCAACATTTGAAGGTTTTGTCACCATTGATACTGTAGGGTGAGACCCACTAGCTGCTCCTTTGACTGTACTACCAACAGCCCCAACAGCAACAGCCCCACCCTGTCGATGTGCTGTGCGCCGCGGCAGTGGCAGCGGCAACACGTACTTCTCTGCGGTGAAAGGCGACCAAAGATACAGCTCCAGCAGCACTGACAGGCCTGCGTGTTGGGGTGGACACAGGGCAGTAGACTGCAGACATCAACACAGAGATGGAATGAAAGAGTGTGAGTGGGATGAAATGAGAGCGAGAGGGGGATGGACTGAGAGTGAGAGTGGGATGGAATGAGAGAGATGAGGGTGGGAAGGAATGAGAGTGAGAGGGCGTGAAGATTGGGGAAGTGAAGGATCCGCACCTTGCTGTCAGTTTCCTGATGCGATGCTTCTAGGTCGTCCTCCTGGCAGGGAGGATGTGGGAAGGGGGGAGCAGGAGCAGGATGGGGGAAGAGGCAAAGAAGAAGGAAAGCAGGGTCGGGGAGGGGCACATGGGCAGGGAGAGGAGAGACCTATGGAGAGGGAGAGTAAGGAGGGCACGTAGGGAGGGAGTAGGGGGAGATACAAGGGGATGCACCAGTAGGGAACGAAATTTGGCGGGAAAATGGCAGCACTGCAAATGCATCGGCAATTGCTTGCTCCAGGGATCTGGCAGGCCCTTCAGCAATCATATCCCTCTCACTTTCCCTCTGACCCATCGATCCCCTCATCTCATACCCTGGGCTCACCTGACGTGTGGGAAAATATCACCTGAGAATATGGAGGGGGGCCCAAGCAGGGAAGGGGATGGGGGGAAGCAGGCTTTGGGAATCCGGTAAGCAGGGATGGGGATGGGGGGAAGCAGGGCAGAGGATCGGGAGAAGCAGGGCATGCACGAGAGAGGAGCAGGGAAAGGGAACGCGGGCAGACGAGAAGGATAAGCACCAAACTCACATGACCGGCCACCTAATTCCCACACCTAACGGCCCATCAATCCCTTCCCCCAAACACACCTTTATCGAATCCCCATAGGGAGGGGGGAAGCAGGGCATAGGGAGGGGGGAAGCAGGGCATAGGGAGGGGGGAAGCAGGGCGGAGGGAGGGGGGAAGCGGGGCATAGGGAGGGGGGAAGCAGGGCATAGGGAGGGGGGAAGCAGGGCGGAGGGAGGGGGGAAGCAGGGCGGAGTGAGTGGGGAAGCAGGGCGGAGGGAGGGGTGAAGCAGGGCATAGGGAGGGGGGAAGCAGGGCATAGGGAGGGGGGAAGCAGGGCATAGGGAGGGGGGAAGCAGGGCGGAGGGAGGGGGGAAGCAGGGCATAGGGAGGAGGGAAGCAGGGCATAGGGAGGGGGGAAGCAGGGCATAGGGAGGAGGGAAGCAGGGCATAGGGAGGAGGGAAGCAGGGCATGCACGAGAGAGGAGGGGTACATGGGAGGGACAGGAAAGAGGGTGAGATCGAGGGAGAGGAGGGGCATATAAAGAAGGTGAAGGCTCACCTGGTGTGTGGCGCTCACCTCTCTGATGGTGGGGGGAAGCAGGGCATAGGGAGGGGGGAAGCAGGGCATAGGGAAGGGGGGAAGCAGGGCATAGGGAGCGGGGAAGCAGGGCATATGGAGGGGGGAAGCAGGGCGGAGGGAGGGCGGAAGCAGGGCGGAGGGAGGGGGGAAGCAGGGCGGAGTGAGTGGGGAAGCAGGGCGGAGGGAGGGGTGAAGCAGGGCATAGGGAGGGGGGAAGCAGGGCGGAGGGAGGGGGAAAGCAGGGAGGAGGGAGGGGGAAGCAGGGCGATGGGAGGGGGGAAGCAGGGCGATGGGAGGGGGGAAGGGTAAAAAGAGCTGGTGGGAGAAAGGGAGGCTGGTCAAAATAATGAGGGGTGTAAACAGTGATGCCTAGTGTGAGGGGGACTGGGGGAGGGAGTGAGGGAAGTACAGGCTCTCCCCCTCTCTCTCTCCCTGTCTGCCCCTCCCCCTCTGTTCCTCCCCTCTGTCCTTCCCCTTGAGTCTCTCCCCCTCTGTCCTTCCCCTTCTTTCTCTCCCCCTCTGTCCTTCCCCTTATGCCTCTCCCAATCTGTCCTTCCTCCTCTGTCTCTCCCCCTGTGTCCTTGCCCCTTTGTCTCAAACCCTCGGTCCTTACCTCTCTCTCCTGAGAGGGGTACGCGAGAGGGACATTGGAAGGGGGGAAGAGAGCAAGGTAGTGAGGGACGGAGAGAGAGGAAGAGAAGGGAGAGATGGGGGTTTCCAGGAGAGATGGAGGGAGGAAGAGGCGATTCGGGTGGTTGGAGGTGTTTTACCGGGGGGAATCATTGGCAAACTTCATGTGCGAGTACATCCCAAAAAAGTTTCGCCCAAAAACCTCCCCCCAGGTTACCCACAGCTTACCCCGTGGCGGGAGACCCCGGGGTCCTTGTCTAGGTAACTCGCGGGTGACCTCTGCAACATTCACTTGGCGAGGTGACCACGAGGTCACCCACAGGTGGTGACCCACGGGAACCCCTCGGGGGACCACTCCCAGCATTTCGGAACGAATCACACGCGAGCCACACGCGAGCCACACGCGAGCCGCATCCTCGCCGTGAAATGCTCCCTAACACCTCTGATAATTGCCTACAGTACAATAGCCGACACTACAGTTGTTTGGCCAACGTTCGATACGAATTCTAAATGCATACGCATTAATTTTGATAATTTCACGCAAATTATTTTTTTACCCTAAATTGGCATTTCGAGATAACCATATGTGTATTGTACGAAGCATATATTTCAGTGTTGCATAATCATTTGATTACGATTCAATGAACTTTATACATGTTCTTTGAGCAAATTGCAAATACGGTACATGCACTTCCATCATTCAATACTATACACGCTGGCAATACCGGGAAGCATTGCTAGGAAACAATTTCAATAAATGAACACTTCCTAACGTGCACATAACGTCCTCCTGGTGGGGAGCCGGGGGCAAAGCTCAATAGCCCCTCTATTTTGCTGTGCTCCTGCAACACACCAGAGGACGAAAACAGGAACAAACGAAACAGCAGCAACACACGCCACGTCAAATCAAAATGGTGTCAAGCAGGATTCTCACCTCACGACGAATGCAGCTTCCACGGAAATGCGGAAAGAGAGATAACGGGGTTCAAAATCAATACAACAAAAAATCGCAACCGTTTGAAAAAGGTCGCCATCGTAGTCTGCAAACGATGGCGACATTCAGACAAAGTCACTAAACAAGTGCAGTTCATGAGAGCGCATAACACTCTTGAGCGCGCATTTCATGGTTAGAAATAAAGCGCGCACGACTATCTTACCTCGCCTAAACTCCTGGCGCACGACTTGAGAAGCTCACCGAATTGATCATGACGTCGCACTGCAGTTACCACGTCAAAATGAACATCATTAGGGTACGAGCGCTACAACGGGAAAGAACCAGAAAAAACAAAACAGCAAATTACAGGTACGATTGTGGACAGCTTGTCGTTCTGCGGTGAACCTTATCATCGTTAATGTCTCACCAGCGCTAAGCGTGAGAAGCAGCACGTCGTTCCAGTAATGCAAGAAGCTCTCGTAGTAGCTGTTCTAAGTGTGTATCATGAGTTGAAAACTAAACCAGAAATGACGGATTACGTAAGTACAATGGTGGATAAGTACTGTGAAGGTGCTCGGAGAGGAGAGGGAGTAGAAGTTGCAATCGGACAGCTCCGATTGGTTAGTAAACTAGAAAGTGCCACGTAACCCAACCCATTACTGTATGCGACATATTGAGCGATGCGATAACAGAACATAATCAGATAGAAAACAAATAAATGTAATTCCAACATGCTGAGAGCGATCCTCTACCTTGCCATGTGCAATTTCGTACGTGGCTGTCTCGGCAGTCAAAGTGAAGCGATGTTTTGATTGGTGCCGAGCCTCCCTGAGAAGCTGGGGGTAACCTCGGGGTATCAAATCGAACTCAGCTGGCTTCTGATTGGAGCGCGAAATGCTATTCGAGAGTAGATGACGTGGTTTGTGCTCAAAGGTAACCTTGGGGGTACTTGCTGGGAAGTTGTGGGTAACCCCGCGATGGTGACCTTGGGGTCTCCCGCGATTTCAAAGTAAATGTTGCGGGATGAATTTTGGGATGTATAGGCTGCCGCGCGAGAAAATGAGGAGGCGGGGTCGACGGGGAGAAGCGCGAGGGAAATGACGAGGCGGGGGCGACGAGGTTCCGCGCTAGGGAAATGACGAGGCGGGGGCGACGCGGACTAACGTGTGGGAAATGACGAGGCGGGAGCGACGAGGTGAAGCGCGTGGGAAATAGCAAGGCGGGGGCGACGAATAGAAGCGCGTGGGAAATCGCGAAGCGGGGGCGACGAGGAGAAGCGCGTGGGAAATCACGAGGCGAGGGCGACGAGGAGATGTTGAATTAAAGCAGTGACGCGACTAAATCAGTCACGTGCACGGGAAGAAACAGGCACAGACGGATTCACTTGCACACATCCGCGCATGCCACATTTCGATCGGTTCTGGTCTCGCGCTAGCGCGCGCTGCGCCGTGCCTAAACGGGCTCATCACTAGATTCGACTATTCGCCGCGGGAGGAGCTATAGCTATGCTACTCAGTGTCGAGCGGCTTTGGTCCCGCACATTTAGTCAGGGGGTAGGCAGGGTGTGTTCGAGATGGGCGCTGCTCATTTCTCATGTGGCTTGTGTTGAAGATGTTGCAATTGGGGTGGTTCTGTCGAGGGTTGCAGGTGCTGCAGGAGTGTTCATTCTGCCTTGACGGTCCAATCAGAAGATGCTGTTCCTACACATGATTGGGTGAGGAGCAGGTTTGCTCGCAAACGCATTCACAATGCTATCGCCAACCACACATGCGATCCCCTGAACTCTGATTTTCTTTTGCTCCCCTCCCGTGGGGTACATGCCTCCTTTCTTTTGGCGCGTAAACTCTGGCCATCCACCCGCACTCCTTCCCGCCACTTCACTCATTTCAACCTGGACCCAACTAGAAAACGGGGTCACTATTTTGCCTGCTCGCTTTAAGGATATGTATAGTAGCGGCCTGACTGGTCATCTTATTACTAGTTAGTTCCTCGTCAAAATTCGCAATTGCTGGTTACGCAGGCTCGTAGATTAAGTACGAACCGCTGAAGGCGAGGATCAACGGCTACGGTAGTGTGTCTAACCGCCACTGGTTACTCTGTTAAAACCGCGCGTTTCGCAAAAAAAAGGGAAAAAAACGCGGCGCGGTAATTTCTCCCGCAGACCTAGTAGTACGCGGACCCCTCTCATTCCGATCGACGCCGTGCTGCTGGATCGTAACGATCGGGTGTCAGATGAAAACAATTGGCGCGTTCTCGGGCATCAGCGGCAGAAGCGCCGCAACTTGTCCCGGAAAAGCGCTTCTTTGCCATTCCCGCCGTCGCGCAGGGCTGCCGGTAGAAGCTGTAACGGCTCGCTACGCCGTCGTGCATGATGTGCTGTTCCCAGGCCTGCAAGGCGACATTCGCCAATGGCTGAGACTCTGCGATTGCGCCGCTGCAGGTGGATAAAACGCCCGTTTTTTAGGCGCCTTAAAACCCGGCAGGTAGGTTGTGACGAGTGAACGAGGCGTTGTAAATTAAGCGAACTGAATGTTGATGTGTGAAGCGTGAGTGTTTTTTTGGCTTATTGCACTCGTTTCAGGCGCCTCGAGAGAGGCAGTTCCACTGCTAGTATGCGGCATGGCATGGCATGGTTTGACGTGGGCATGTTTGGCATGGTGTGCCTTTGCATGGTCTGCACGACATGTCCCTCTTTAAACCCCTCAGCTCAAAACCCGTCCGTCCGCCCTCGCTCACCCGCCCATCCTCTTTCCTCTCCCTCCTCAACCTCGCCACTGCCCCCTCCTCTTCCTCCGCTGCTGCCCCCTCCTCCTTCTCCTCCTCCCCTGTCGCTGCTTCATCTGCCACAGCAACCACCACGTCTCTCCTGCTCCTCCTCCTCCCGTCCTGTCTCCTGCTGTCTCCTGCCATCACTCCTTCTCCTGCGCCTGCTCTCACCCCGTTTCCTGCTCCTGCCCCCTCTCCTGCACCCGTGGTTCCTGTGTCTCAAGCAGCAGTTTCTGCTAGCAGCAATACTGCCACCCCCGCACGGCTCCCGCCATCGCTCCTCCCCCTATCGGTGCTGCCCCCTATGCTCCTCCCCCCATCGCTCCCCCCGTCATTGCTCCCCCTCTCATTGCCGCTCTCACCATTGCTCCTTCCCCCATTGCTCTTTTCCCCGTTACTCCTCTTGCCCCAAGCAAGAAACCTGGCGACAATATTGCATGTCACCGTACTGCTGCGGATCATACCATGCTATCTCCGCGTTATGTGTCACTGAGTTCCTGCTACCTACCCCTTCCTCCCCGCCTTTCCTCCCTTCCTCACTTGCTCACGCATCCGCAGCTTCCTTCACCTCCCATCACTTCCCTCCCCCCTGACTCTCCCGTTGCCTCCCCACCGCCTCGCTCGCCGCAGGCGACGAGGAGAGGAGAAGGAGATTAGGCTCAACCAGCGGACCTCTTCCCTCTCACAACCCACGCCTCCTTCTCCCCTCTCCCCCGTGCTCCCCTCTCCCCCACCCGATCACCTCCCCAGAGTTACAATCCTCTTCCTCTTTCAGTTGCTCCTCTCCTTACCTCGCTCTCCCCTCCCCTTTCCCGTTTGCGGCAGCCGCAGCAGCAGGAGCAGCAGCGGCATCAGCTGCACAAACCGCGGCAGCAGCAAACAGTACCAGAATATTCAAGGAAAGAAAAGCATGAGCAGCAGCAGCAGTGTGGGTAGCGGCAGTGTGGAATGAGAGGGTGAGGCAGGAAGAAAGGGGCGGTGGGGAGATGAGGAAGAAAGGAAGGCAGGAAGGAGGGGCGGTGGGGCAGGGAGGGCAACTAGTCCTCCTGGCAGGAGCATCATCAGCAACAACATGCGCGTCACGGAGCTTCTCTCTCAAACACCAACAAGTGAGCATCATGGGCGTGGGATGTGCTTAGGCGAATGCGTTCACTCCCTGTGCTCCATGTGCATGGGATTGTGTGTGCGCATGCGCGTGTGCCTGTGTTGGTCGTTGCAACGTGTTCTCTTCCGTCTCCTATGATTTCTGCCCCATGCCTCCCTGCCTGCCCCATGCCTCCCTGCCTGCCCCATGCCTCCCTGCCTGCCCCATGCCTCCCTGCCTGCCCCATACCTCCCTGCCTGCCCCATACGTCCTTATTCCCATCCACCCCCTCTTTCCCCCTTCCCCCCAGTTCCCCTCAGGTCGCCTCACGGTGAAATCTGACAACCTTTCACGATCTCCCGAGCCTGACGTGGCTCCACTCCACATGCCCATGGCTGCTCCGAGCCTGAGCTCCAGCCCTGGAGAAATTACAAAAGGGAGGGTTTGGGAAGCGGCGGCAGCAGCAGCAGAAACAGAAGAAAGCAGCAGCAGCAGCTAAACAATCAGTAGCAGCAGCAGCGGCAGCGGCAACGGCAGCGACAGTGCAGCAGCAGTGCAGTAACAGGGACAAGCAGCAGCAGGGACAAGGCAGTGCAGCAGCAGTGCAGCAGCAAGGACAAGCAGCAGCAAAGGAAGCAGCAGCAGGAGCTTGATCATGTGCTAGCATGCCACGTGCCACCATTCCATATGCCGACCCATGCTGCCATGCCACATGCTGCCATAGAACATGCTTCCATGCCACATTCCGCCATGCAAAATGCTGCCAGCCATGCCACAGTCAACCATTCCACACGCTGCCATAGTAGATGTTGCGGGTGCAATGCAGCATGGATATATTCCTGTGCTATGTGTTTCCAACCGTTTCCTTGTCCGTGTTTGCCTGTACAGCTGAGCATTCCGGTCAACAGGGTAACATGGTGTGGTGATACATAATGTAATTCATCATAACAGTACACATCATGAGCGTGTGGAGCCAGATATAGCACATCGTTCCTCCAGAAGGCAAACCAAGCAACAGTACAGCAGCAGCACAGCACCACCGCAGGGACAGGGGATGGACTTGGGGTAGCTGCACACCATGCAGGGGGGGGGATGCGAAGAGAGGAACACGTAGTCTCCCGTGCTCGTCCGGTTCTGCTTGTTGCCCGCATCATCGGCGTCAACGTAGCCTATCAGCTCCAGTGACTCTGGTCCACCGCCGAATTCCAGGGCGGTGTCGCGGGTGTCGGCGAGGTAGGTGAGGCAGCGGTCGACCTCGCGCCAATGCTGGTCTCTCCTCACCGTGAGGCCGCTCCCCAGCTTGCTGCAGGCGAACGGAATGTCCGGCCTCGTCGTCGTCGCCGCGAACTGCAGCGAGCCGACCTTCTGCCGGTAATCCTCCTCGCGCTCCTGGGACTCCTCTTCGTCGAACGTCAGCTCAGCGTAGGCGTTGACAGAGACCGGCGTCTTTGAGACTCGACCGCCCTGCTCCTCGTCGATGAAGCGCCTGCGCAGCTTGTCGGCGTAGCCCTGCTAGTGCAGCCACAGCTTCCTGGCCAGCCTGTCACGCACGATCTCTAGTCCAAGGTACTTCACCACCGGCGAGATCTCACGCAGCTCGAAGGCGGCCTCCAGCAGCTCCTTCAGCTTCGCGGTGCTACTGCTGGCGGCGAGCAGGTCGTCGACGTAGACCAGCACCCAGCAGGTCACTCAGTTGTCGCCGGCCTTGAAGTAGAGCGCCTCGTCGACCTAGCTCTTCTTCCAGCCAGTGACCAGCAGCACACCGTCGAAAGCCCTGTACCACAGTAGCGGCGACTGCTTCAGCCTGTAGAGGCTCTTCAGCAGCTTACACACTCGGCCGGTCCCATCGTCGAAGTAGTCCGGCTAGTACATGTAAAGCACCCTGTCGACCACCCCTGCTGCTGCTCCCCCGTCGAGTGCACCCCTGCTGTTGCCTCCTGTTCGACCGGCTCCCCTGTCTAGTGCTCCCCTGTTGTTGACGGCTTCCCATTTTGGTCGACGAGCTTGGCGCCTTGTCGACCGCCAACGATGCCACTGGCCGGCGCCACAGGCGACGCCTCAAGGCTCCCCTCATCGCCGGTGGCCGATACAGGTTTCGAAGCAGGCCGAGCTGCGACGGGAGAGGGAGGAGCAAGAACAGGGATTGGTGGAAGAACCTCCACAACATCCTTATCAGCAGGCTCGTCGACGTCGGCGAGCAGGGGAACCGTCGCCGTCGAGGTGTCCATCGGCGGGTGTTCCTGCGTCCGCCCCGACGCCAGCCCATACTTTGCCTTCCACACCTCTAGCGACAGCGTCTCGTAGAAGACCACCTCGACCGACATGACCACCTTATTGTTGGTCAGGTCGAGCACCTCCCAGCCCATGCTCTCCGGCGACACCCCCAGGTGAAGCCCCCAGCGAGCTTTCGGAGCCAGCTTCCCACCGCGCTGCTGCTCGGGAATCATGAACTGCACCATGCAGCCCCACACCCGCGCCAGCGTGAGGTCGGGCTTCTTCTCGGTCAGCAGCTGGTACGGAGTCGTCCTCGGCGGTGTCATCGACCACTCCAAGCAGTTTCGCACCCATACAGCCTGTCGAAGAGCGAGGTGCCTCCACTGGTGCTGCACGCCCATGCACGGACTCGACGACCGTGCGCATTTCCCGACGAACGAAGTGGGACCGGGAGGAAAGTGGTAAGCAAGATCGAGATGGGGAGAAAGGGTTAGCTTGTTGTGGTGCGTCTGAAACGTGGCTTCTGTCTGCCGCATCTCCATGCCCCCCTATATCTTCCTCTCTCCGCCACTCTCCTGAATCTTCCGCTCCCAACTTTCCAGCCTTAATTCGCATAATTTCTTTTGCATTCTTTTGAAGCCCATGTCCATCTTTCGCCCCGCTCCTCCCTTCATCGTCCACTCCTTCTTTGTCCTACAGGCGAAGCTTCAAGGCAGCTTCTGCCCTTGTCGGGGTTTCAAGCGCAGCGCATCTGGGCGGCGATGCAAGGCCGTGGGTGTCAGCCCATGGGCCGGCCGGCAGATTACGTTCCTTCCCTCCGTGCCGCCGCCCTTCTTCCTCCCCGCAACAAAGCACCTCCTCCTAATCATGCCACCACCAGCACCAGCAACAACCAGCAACGTGCTGCTGCTGGTGCCGCCTCTTCCTTTCTCACCAGCCAAAGGGAGGCACGAAAGCTCAGGCTCGTTGATGCTGATCATGATGCCACCACGAACAGGCAACGTGTTGCTGCTGTTGCATCTTCCTCCCTCCCGGACCAAAGGGAGGCACGAAAGCTCAGGCTCGTTGATGCTGATCCAGACCCGCTGCAGGGCGATCTGAGCCGTCGGTCGGCCGGAGCTGCGCGCGACCATGCGGATGGCAGCGAAGGGGGGTTGGATGCACTATGGCAGGGCATAGTGAGCGATGCACCCTTGCGCACATGCTGCTGCTGGGCGGACTCGTGGTGCTCGTGCTCGTGCAGAGGGTGCTTCAAGTCGAATGGCTCCTGCTGCTGCTGCTGCTGATAAATTTCCCGTGTGCAGAGCCCGTGGTATTGCTGATACAAGTGGTAGGGGTGAGAGAGGTAGTGGTGGTGATGAAGGTGGGAGTGAGAGATGCGGAAGAGGAGATAGAGTTGGAAGAGATGGATGGGGTGGCCTGGGTGGGTTGGAGAAGGGTGTAACTAATGCAACGGGAGCAGCAGAGAGGCCATTGGGTAAAGGCGAGGTGCAAGGCAGGGCAACACGAGGGAGAGAGGGTGGGAGTGACACTGATGGGAGATGCAGCAGACGGGGAGAGGTGCAGCAGGTCAGAGATGAGCCCGAGGCGCAGGGGCGTGGCGGGGTGTCGGAGATTGTTTCTGAGAAGCAACAAATGGGGCGGAAGGAGGAATGTAGAGAGCGTGGGGCGGAAGTTGAGACCTTGGGCAGGAAGCGTGGTGGTGCGGTTACCAGTAGAGGCGGGTCAAAGTGGCCACATGCACGTGACTCATCGGGCGCCGCTCTATTGGACAGAGCTGCGTTGAGGGATGCAAGTGGAGGAGGGGATGGGATGTCAGGTGCGTCATTCGGAGGGCAGAGGCAACGGGAGGGAATGAGGGGTGCTGACAGGAGTAGAGAAGAAGGGAACGCTCAAGGCGAGGTGGTGGGTAGGAGAGGGGGCGTTGCGCGAGGAGGGGGCGTTGTGAGAGGGGGTTCAGTGAGAGCTGGTGGTGGGAGAGGGGGTGGGGAGAGATGGAATGGGGAGATAAACAGTAGTGGGCATGATATGTTTATGAGGAGCGGGGAGGAGAGTGGAGTGCATGTGGCGAGCAGGCGTGGCGTGAGTGGGCGCGTGCAGAGCGGCGGGCTGTTGGAGATGTTTGGCGTGGCGGAGGTGGTGCCTTCCTCCAGTGCTGAGGCTTCTGAGGATGGCAGTAGCGAGGAGGACGGGGAGGAGGATGTGGTGGAGGTGGAGGTGGTGGGGGAGGAGGAAGAGGTGGAGGAGGAAGAGAAAGGAGAGGAAGAGGAAGAGGAAAAGGAGGAGGAAGAGAAGGAGGAAGGGAAAGGCGAAGGGGGAGGGGAGAAGGTCAAAGGGGATTTGAGGGGAGAGAGAAGAGATGGAAGGAAGAGGGGAGATAGAGAGGAAATTGGGTGTAGGAGTGGTGTGGTAAGGGAGGTGAAGGGCGGAATCACAAAGAGGGAGCGGGCGGTGCAGGACGCACGGAGAGAATGGGGGATCTGGGAAGAGATGCGGCAACAGCAGCCTCAGCAGCCCCAGGAGCCCCAGCAGCAGCAGCAGCAGCAGCAGCGCACCGCATTTCTGCAAGCATGGGCTGCGGGGGGGCGCTCGGCAGAACCTGATGCCATGGCTCAGAGTGTGCAGGAGTTCAGGGCGAGGAAACAGCAACCCACGGCTCTCCCTGCTGTACCCTCCGCATCCCTCTCCTCCCCTGTGTCCTCTCCTGTGCCGCTTGTGCCCCTTGTGTCCCTCACATCTCCCTCGCCTCCTGCTCCTCGTGCCTCTCCCGCTGCTTCTGCTCCTCCTCCTGCTCCTTCTGCTGCTGCTGCTCCTCCTCCTCCTGCTCCTTCTGCTCCTGTTGCTCCTCCCGTCGCTCCTGCTGCTGGTACGCATGTTGCTGCTCCGCCTCCTCCTCCCCCTCCTGCTGTCGCCCCACGGGCTGCCTCCCCTCCTTCACCCGCACAGAACCGCAGGAGGGCAGCGGCGCTGCTGGCAGCGGCGCAGAGGAAGTGGCTGGTGGAGTGCCGGGCGCGGTTTGAGGCGTTTGTGTTCCCGGCGACGGGCACGGACAGCGTGACGGTGCGGTGGGAGGATGTGGAGCGCCTGAAGCCAGAGGAGTTTCTCAACGACACCCTCATTGACTTCTTCCTCAGGTGAGTGATCAGTTGGAGTCTGAGAGTGGTCCTTTTTCTACAAGTACCTGGCCTGGGCCCTGGGTCAACCCGAACCTGGCCTGGGTCAACCCGAACCTGGCCTGGGTCAACCCGAACCTGGCCTGGGTCAACCCGAACTTGGCCTGGGTCAACCCGAACCTGGCCTGGGTCAACCCGAACCTGGCCTGGGTCAACCCGGACCTGGCCTGGGTCAACTGGACCTGGCCTGGGTAAACCCGGACCTGGCCTGGTAAACCCGGACTTGGCCTGGGTTAACCTGGTTTGTTGTCAGCCGGGGTCGGTCCTTTGTGTTCTGGCCTTGTGAAGAATTCATATCTTCACATTTTTTTACCTTGTGAGGCTGATCTCCATCCCTCCCCCTTCCCCTCCCCTCCCCCTCTGCGAGCCTGCAGGCATCTGAAGGTGCAGGCGGTGGAGCAGGGCCGCATCGCATGCTCCCTTGCCGCGCCCGACCAGGCACTGCCCCCACCACTGTCGCCAGCAGCAGCAGGTGCAGCAGCAGCAGGTGCAGCAGCAGCATCAGGTGCACCTGTTGCTGGAGGAAAGGCAGATGGTGACAAGGCAGGTGGTGAGAAGCAGGCGGGTGGGGCAAGGCAGCCCCCTCCTTTGGTGCATTTCTTCAACAGCTTTTTTTTTAAGATGCTCATCGGCGGGGAAAAGGACGACCCCTTCCCTCCTCCCACCCGCGTCCCTGCTGCTGCCGCCTCCCATGCCGCTGCTGATGCCGCTGCCGCAGCAGTGGAGGCAGCAAGGGGGGATAGTGGGGGGGAGGAGGGGAAGGCGGCGCACTGGCGGGTGCGCAAGTGGACGAAGAGGGTCAACCTCTTCGCCTGTGACTTTGTCTTCATCCCTGTCAACCTCAGGTGCGCCCTTTTTCTGTCATACGTGTGTGTGTGTGTGTGTATGTGTGTGTGTGTGTGTGTGTTCCCTGGTCTCCTGTGGGCCTCAGATGGGTCTCATGTGGGCCTCAGCTGGGTCTTGGGTGAGGCTCAGGTGGATCCTTCTTGATCCTCTTTGTTTCGCTCTTATTTTAGAAGCATTGATGAATCATGCACTATGTGGGGCTACACCTATAAGCTCTCAGTCTCAGCCATACATGTTGTTGTGCAAAAGCAGATAATGCAGAACAAGATGTGTTTTTCTGCTTAGCACAATCCATACGTTTTCGCGCTCCCTTCCCCTGCATGCACTATTTTCCCCGTGCCATTCTCCTTTGCAGCTCCCACTGGAGTCTGCTGATCATCTGCCATCCCAACAAGATTTCTCCAGTTACACCACCCACGTCAACAGCAGCAGAAGCAGCAGCAGCGGCACAAGCGAGACCACTGAGACATGAATTACAGGCACAAGAACCAGCAGCACCTCTGTTGCCAGTCGCTGCAGCAGCCGTAGCAGCTTCAGCATCCACCGCAGCAGCTGTAGCATCTATAGTAGGGTCATCAGCAGCAGCAGGGACAGAAGCAACAGCGCAGCCACAACCCCCTCCATCCGCAATTCCCCAGCCGATATCCGCACCACCATCGCATCTACCCCGATCGCCATCTCCACTTGAAGTTAACCCATTAGAAGTGTCTCTGTTTGATGATTCCCCTATGCAAGAATACATCTCCACACAGAGCCCCCCACACTCACCCCAACATCTCCCTGCCTCTCCTCACCGTTCTAAACCGCCTCAAACGGCATCCTCACACAATGCTTCAGACCGCCCTCTCTCATCCGTCATTTCCCATTTGCCTCTCGCCCCTACCAGCCCCCACCCATCCCATGCCAGCCTCGGTCCTGTCACTTCCACCAGCCCCTACCCTCCACTCACCACCAGCCCCTTCCACCCTCCTCCTACCCAACCCCCAGCATCACCCAAGCCTCCTCTTCACGAGACAGCTGCAGCCAACCCCCCCGTGCATGAGGCAGCGCCGTGCATTCTGCACTTTGACTCGCTGCCCGGGCTGCATGTGGACGTGGAGGAGGCCGTGCGCACGTGAGTTGGGGTGGGTGGGTCGTGGAGGCCAGGCTGGGGCAGGGAGGTGGAGCTGGTTGGATCGGGGGTGGGGAATGCAGGGCTCCTCCGCCTGCCGCATGCATTTTGCTCTGCGATTTGACTTGCTGCTTGCTGCCACACCTGCATGTGCACGTGCCACTGTGAGGGTGTGGGGTGTGCAAGGAAAGGAGGGATTGGGGCCGAGCAAAGAAAGAGGGGATGATGAAGGACAGAGGTTGGGGTGGGTGGGTGCATGGCTCTGTGTGCCTCAAGGCGCTGAGTTGAGGCGACATGGTGCATTCCACTCACTGCACCCCTCAGCACCACCGTGCAACCCCTCACCATCCCACCCCACCACCAGGTACCTCCAGGAGGAGTACCTCGTGCGCCACAAGGCGCTGGGCTGAGGTGACTTGATACATTCCACTCACTGCACCCCTCACCACCATCCCCCACCATCGCCCACCACCAGATACCTCCAGGAGGAGTACCTCATGCGCCACAAGGTGCCCCTCACGCCAGCGCTGAGAAAGGCCTTCATCCGGCTGCCTGTGTTTCGCCCCAAGGTAACGCCAGGAGACTTCTTCCACAATGTACCTTGTCCTTCCTACCTTGTCGTTAAGCAGATACGAAGATCTAAATTAGCAGCGCAAGTATTCTGCCTCACAGCGCTACACTGGTACGCAGGTGCAAAAATCCGAAGTGCAGTGGGCTTCGATCTATACGGTCGACCCGAAATTCTATTGTTACTCAAGCGTGTAGTGGTCCGGGTCGAACCTGGACCTTTTGTTACTAAATTGCCCCCTAGTCTTATCAAAGTGCTGAAGGTTCGACTTGAACCTTGAAATATCAAGCCCAGACGGGTTCGAGTTCGTATTCACTCATGTCTATCAATTGATCTGTGCGCGTTTTGCCTCTCCTCATTGCTTTCCCTTCCCATGCACAGGTCCCCCAGCAGCCGAATCTGAGTGACTGCGGGGTTTTCCTGTTGCTCTACGCACAGGAGCTGCTCTCCCACATGCCGCTCACAGTTTGTCGCGCGCCTGCCTGCGACCGGTGCAAGCAAGTGGTGAGTGCGCATGGTGTGCTTTCTGCAAACAGTTTCACTACAACGGGAGTTGGACTACATGGGGAGATACAGGTGGTACGCGTGATCGTAGCGTTTCTTGTGTTCTCTAGCACTTGCGTGCAGGCATGAGCAACGGGCGAACACCAAACGTGTTCGCCCGAACCTCCCCGAACATTTTATTTAACCGAACCGAACATGTTCGGTTCGGCCGAACATTATTTTCAGTTTTTGGATGTTCGGTGTTTGGTTAGTGTGGGCAAACATGTTTAGGTTCGTCGAACATCTACATGTTCGGCCAATTCCGAACATGTTTGGTGTTCGAAAATAAGGACTTAGAAGATTCTTTGACTAAACAGATTTCACCACCGTTTTCATGACTTAACAGATTTCAGCACCCCTGTTTCATGCAACTAACTAAGTACAACAACACCTGCCCATACATGTGATTAACGACTTATTAAGTTTCCGTAAGGAACCGTTAAGTTGGGTGGAGTAGGCATGGAAATGAGCCTACTAATCCTTACTGCTCTGTACTTAACCTAAAAAGGTAGATCGAGGTCAAAATGACCTCCATCTATGCTTTCCGTAGGAAAAACATCCAACCAGCGCGACAAATGTCGCGCGGGTTTTTTCCGAACATCAAATGTTCGGAAACGCGGGGAAACTTCCCGAACATGTTTGGTGTTCGAGAATTTCCCCTTAGAACTTTCCGAACACCGAACATGTTCGGGTCGAACCTCGAACATGTTCGGGCGAACGTTATTCCCAAAACAAGCGGGTCGAACATGTTCGAAACGAACACGTTCGACCCGAACGTGTTTGGGGTTTGGAAAAGTGCTCATGCCTACTTGCGTGTTCACAGGGCAAATTGGTAAGAGTTTCATTGAAAAGGTTGAGAACAATGACGCGAAAGGCAATGGCGACAATGACTACATTAGGGGCCTAGCAACTTAGCACACAGACAGGTCGACCTCCAGCGCAGCACAGGGGCGGCTTGCCAGCACTGCAAGTCGACACCGTGCCAGCACAGCTGGGAGGCGGCTTGCCAACGGTGCAAGTCGGCGACCTGCCAACGCTGAACCAAGGTGGCTTGCAAGCGTTGCAACTGCGGGTGACAATAGCGCACATGCGCGAACCCATTTTCCAGGTGCAGATCGACGTTTAAGCACGTCGTGCGCTGTCACGAGCGTTGCGCAGGTGACAAGTCGGCCACGTGCCGATGGTTGCGCTCGCCAGTTGTGCCACGTCGACCTCGGGATATCAGCCCGCAGGTCGACTTTGCCAAAACCTCCTGGGCGACGTTCGCCACCCCCGCAGATTCGTCGACCGGGTAACCAAGTCGACCAGGTAATGTCCCCGGCGCCCTCAGGTTGGCGCCCTCAGGTCGACGAACACCCTCGTCGACCACCCAAGTCGAAGTCGGCCGCGGACTGCACCTCATGGGCGGCTTCACAGTGGTGCCGCGGAAGTTGACCGAGTCTGTCGACGTCCTCTCCCAAGTCGGCATTGACCACTGACAGCAGCCGACTGCACCTCTCGCGCACCCAACCGCGAAGTTGGCTTCGCCCAAGCGAGGGTGGGGCCATTTCCTAGCAACACTTTCTGCATCCTGTTAATGTGCTTGCAGACAATGAGTTTTGAGAGCACAGATGTGTCATTTGCAAGTCGTTCCATTTTTTCCCCGCAATTTCCAAATTCAAATTTCCAGTAGACGTATTACTTGCCTTGACTCGTGCGAGTAATTTCTTTTAAATTACCGACTCATTACTCGCCCAAAACGAGTAACGAAAACGAGGCGAGTCTTTTACTTGTCTTGTTGCTCATGCCTAGGCTCAGCATTGCTGCTGCGGCTGCTGTTTCACGTTCTTCCCCCTCTCCTCCTCTCTTTGTTTCTCCGTTCTCTATTCTTCTCCCTTACCCCTCCCCCTCCCCCTCCCCCTCCTCCCCCCCAGCTGTCCTTCCCCTGGCTGACGCCCGACTCAGCCAAGCCCATGCGAGCCGCCATCCGCCGCACCGCGCTGCTGCGAGTAGGGCTGGGGGAGCTGGTGAGGCGCGAACCACAACGAGAGGAGGTCGTGGTGGGGCGGGAGAAGGAGGGGGTGAGGGAGGAGGGGAGGGAGATGCAAAGGGATGGAAGGGAGGAGGAGAAGGAGGAGGGGGAGAGGGACGGAAGGGACAATGAGGGGAGGGGGCATGGGGTGGGGCGAGTCGGAGGGATGGTAGGGCTGTTGGTGAGGGAGATTAGCAGTGTGGAGGGAGAAGGGGGGAGAGGGGAGGGTGCGGATGGGAGAGTGGCAGGACGGGAAGAGGGGCAGAAAAAGGGAACACACGATAAGGGCCAGGAGCAGCAGCAGGAGCAGAATAGGCGTGTGACTCGAAGTCGCAGCTTGCATGCAATCATGTCGAGCCAGGATGGAGGCCCGTCGGTCATTGCACTACCTGACAACGGAGGCCCTTTGAAGCAGAGCAGGGTTGGTGGGAAGAGGGAGAGGCTCCTGCAAACGGTGTTAGAGGAGGGCGGAAAGGAGGAGGAGGGGGAGGAGGGGGACGTGGTGGAGGTGACAGCGGCGGTGGGGAAGAGGGGCCGGGTGGGACCGGTGGGAAATGGCGGGAAGGGGTGGGCGGATGGGGATGGGGAAGAAAAGAGGGAAGGGCATAGAGAACATGTTTCTCGGAGCTGGTTGTCGGACTTGCTGGATGAGGTTGATATGGAGGAGGCGATGGGGGAGGCGATGGAGGAGGCAATGGGGGAAGAATTGGAGGAGGGGAGAGGAGGAAAGGGAGGAGAGGTGGATAAAGGACGGAAGGGAGGGGGGGAGGAGAAAGGAAGGAAGGGAGGGGAGGAGGAGAAAGGAGGGAAGAGCACTACCTGACAACGAAGTCGGCTCCGCCCAAGCAAGGACGGGGCCAAACAACACTCCCGTTGACAGAAACCTCTATCAGCCTTCTCCTGCAACAGAGCGAGTCGCCAACGCCGCAAACAGCTTTGCTGCACCTGCTGCTGCACCTCTTGCTGTTCCTCCTCCTATCGGAGCACGTGCTGAGCCTTCTGCTGCGGCTGCAAATGCCTTTGGCTCCTGCCCGTCGGCCCTGCCTCGTTTTGTCCATGGCAAAACTGACGTTGAGACTTGGCTCTCCATTGCGGAGGACTTCATTTCCATCCACAATGTGCGTAGCGAGGCTCACGTGGTCGCTGCGACCCTTGCCCTGGACGACACTGCGAGCAAGTTGGTGTTTGCCAACAAGCGCCACGCAGAGGCGAATGGCAATCCCTTTGGCTGGGAAGAGTTCAAAGCAGCCATGCTGACGGCATTCCTTGTTCAACCCCCAGCGCTCGAGTTGCGTAGCCGCTTGGAGAACCTCCAGTGCGGTGACCAGCCTGTATGCGAGTACGCCAAGGAGTTTGAGAAAACTCTGTCGCTGCTGAAGACTGCTCTTCCTGAGAGTGAGGTCATCCACCAGTTCTTCAAGGGACTCCCCGAGCACATCAAGCGTCTGCATGTAGTGAAGGGGGAGCACCAGTGGAAGACCTACAAGGAGTGTAAGGAGCAGGTCATCAGCACGGATGTGCACTTCCGTGCATACCTGGATCTCAAGAGCACTCGTGCTCAGCAGCATCCTAGTGCCGAAGGCCCTAGGGGGGGTGGTAGCAGGACCCAGGCGCCCAGGGGCTGTGGCTCTTGGAAGAGGCCCTATCAGCAAAAGGGGGAATCCTCTGGGACTCTGTCCAAGAGGGCCCATGCGGGGCCTGCCAAGGACTCTCAGAATGCTGATATGCCCCGGGCGGGCTGCCACGACTGTGGCAAGCTCGGCCACAAGGCATATCAGTGCCGTTGGAGGAAGTCCGTCAAGAACTCCGGCAAGCCCAACCAAGGCAAGAAGCCGGATGGTTCTGGTCCTTCGGGTCCTAAGGTTTTTCACAAGCCCAACTAAGGTACCTAGTTGGTGAGCAGGATCGAGTAGATGAGGCTTATGTCCTTTGTGATGAGGATTTGTTAAAGCTTGAGGAGCTTGCATCATGCAAAATCGCTTGTTTGTATGCCTCTTCTATTGATGAAAAATATGTTTTTAAAGCTCGATCATACCCACTAGAAAATATTTCAATTGAATCTTTGAGAGATAAATTTTCAATCATCTCTTGCTCGTTCAATAAGTTGCCAGCACTCATGGATACTGTGGACCGTTGTGTCCAAGAGCACCCGCTCACATAACTGGGATAGGTGACTCAAATTGTGAAAAGGAGAGTTATTCCGCCAATTTCACGATTGGCATATCCTGGCAACATGGGACAAAGGGCACCACGTCGGGTGTACCGATTCCCAAAGGTTTGGACGTGCTCACAACAAATTTAGGGTGTACTATCGACCTCCTAAACTTGTTGTCGCTTGTCCCATTTGTCCAAGATTCCAACAAAATTTACTGTTATCTGGACGCATGAATGGGGACGAAGCAAGGATTCTTGTCGATACAGGCGCGTCGGTTTCCTTTGTTGATGAAACTTGAGTTACGGCACGCAACGTCGTCGTTGTAGGACCGTCTTGTCCCATTTGTTTGGGTGACGATCGTGTCACTCCTGGTAAAGGACAGACACATATCGACATGAATGTACTGGACTATAGCGAAACAATTTGCGTGTATGTCCTACCACTTTTGTGAGGTGTCGACCTCGTACTTGACATGGATTAATTGCGAGCCAACAAAGTCAAACTGTACTTCCAATACAACATTGTCTCGTTCACCAAGAACGGAAAGGCAATCCAGTGGCAAGTCAATGATACTTTGCTCACTGAAACACAGACGCCTGAACGTCCCAGCGCGCTGTGTGTGTTGGCCAACCAGTTCGGGCATTTAGTTAAATCGGCTGATACACTATTCGTGGTACAGCTTGAGAATGCTGAGACATCGGAGCCAGCAATTGAGGATTTCCCTCCTCAAATGCAAATACTGGCAGAGGAATTCAAGGAAGTATTTGAAACCATCCCTGATGGACTTCCACCTGACCGCGCAGTGGGTCATACCATCCCTGTTGAACCAGGAAAGGATCCACCCTTTCGACCTCTATATCGCCTCAGTCCAGTTGAGTACGAGGAGGCTAAACAACAGATCGAGGAGTACCTCAGAAATGAATGGATTGAACCCAGTGCATCCCCTTACAGAGCACCAATTTGGTTTGTTCACAAGAAGGGCGGAGGATTACGCATGTGCGTAAATTATCGTGCCTTGAACAAGATTACAGTGAAGAACAGATACCCTCTATCAAGGATAGAGGATTTGTTCGATCGGCTCCAAGGAGCTGAGTGGTTCAGTGAGCTAGACTTAGCTCAGGGGTACCATCAGCTGCACATCACCGAGGAAGATGTTCCTAAAACGGCTTTTCGAACGCCGTTCAGGCATTTTCAATGGCGTGTGTTAAGTTTTGGCTTGACAAATGCTCCCGCGTCATTTCAGCGAGCAATGAATGATGTGTTACGGAAGGCAATTGGCCAGTTCGTCCTACTATACGTGCATGATATCCTCGTTTACTCGAAGACAGAAGAAGAACACACGCAACACCTAAAATGGGTGTTAGGAAAATTGCGGAGCATAAATTCTTTGCTCGGTAGTGGAAGTGTCACTTGTACAAACGCGAGTTGGAATACATTGGTCACTTGGTAGGCAACGATGGCCTAAAAGTTGATCCAAAGAAGGTGGCAGCAGTCCAATAGTGGCCAGTTCTACAGGATGTGGGGCAGGTTAGATCATTTCTTGGACTTGCGAACTATTTTCGTCGTTTCTTGGAGAACTATTCCTCCGTGGTCGCTCCACTGACTGCCCTCACTCGCAAGGGTAATTCTTGGCAGTGGACCGGTCAATTCTAGAACGCATTTGAGGAGGTAAAAACCATGCTGACCAATGCTCCAGTGCTGGCTTTGCCAGACCCGTCCAAGCCCTACGAGGTGGTAACTAATGCCTCCACAGTAGGGATTGGCGCAGTCCTTTTGCAAGAAGGACGCCCCTTGGCATTTGAGAGTAGAATGCTTTTCCCGGCTAAGCAGCGCTATACAACTTCCGAACAGGAATTGTTGGCAGTTGTGCATGCGCTACGGACATGGAGATGTGAACTAGAAGGAGTTGACTTCGTGGTCACGACCGACCACTGTCCGAACACCTACTTTGCCACGCAAACCACACCCGCCCGGCGTCAAGCTCGATGGTTTGAACTCCTTAGTGGGTTCACCTACGATATTCGATCTCGGAGAAGATTAGGGTTTGTAGGGCAACTTGAAATCAGGTTGGTTTCAAGTTTGCAAGGCTTGGGCTCGACAAGTGGTTGGGAAAGTGGTTTTCAGTAACGTGCGCTTGATTCTTTCATGTTGAAAACCCTGAGTCTAGGCGCGTTCGGTTCGGAACCGAATCCGTCAACACGTTTATGAGTCGAAGGGTTGATAGACTCATCAACTAGGAAACATCAAAACCCTACGTTTATGTAAAAACACTAGGACTGTAGTAGCGTAACTATGGTTTGAGTACACCCATTCACGGAAATATTGAACTGTAACATCGGTAAAAAGGCAAATAAAAAACTCAAAATGTGAAAGCTATTTGTGAATAGGGCGTGCATGTAACAATAGTGGGTAACCAAAGAATTTGACAAATGTAACTGCTGCTACTACAAATATTGTTATGCACTACTGTTACGCATAGCAAATGAATGAACCTATAATAGTAACTAGTCTTTGTAACCAGCAAACTCGTTATTACGTGAATCAGTATTCAAGACAGAAAAGAAACAATGCACACTCATTATAAATGAGGGTTAGTCTATAATTATAAGAAAGAAACAAAACAAAAACAAAAACCTCTGCAATAACATCTACACCCCACGACCTTCCTATGTCATCCCTTACTCAGGCACCTCATCCTCATCCCCAGGAAGGTCGTTATCAAGCACATCCATGGAGACATCAGTCCAGTTAAGAAGGTAAAGACGGCCCATAAAGAGGCCACCATCTGGACCATGTACAGGCTGAACACGGTTGAACATCCGCTGAACGACGCGCGCCTGGCGAGAGATGGCATCAGAATCACCAGAGCGCTTCAACATGGTCTTCACAGATGTAGGATTTCGAAGCTTGTAGCGCACCCGGGAATTGAAAGTTTGCTAGGGTTAGGTGGATTGTTAAATAGATTGGATATTGCCACTAGAGGAAGCACTTACAACAGCAAGACTGAGGCACAGTTGTTCGCCTTGCAAACCAATAATTGCGCTGTTGGACTTTGCTCCAGCCCAGACCTTTGCCACAGCAACAAAATGCGTCACTGGAAAAAGGTACACCATCCTTTTCATGCCATGGTACTCCTTACTCCCCTGCTCAAAGTTGAATGAAAGTTAGAAGTCAATATGTACAAAATCCAATCATACGGAGCACATATACAATCTCAACAACTTACTTGTAGCGTTCAAAGTAACCCAATCCGCGCAGTCCTGTGCAAATGAGAAGGATGGGTTTTGCTCACATTTCCCTTCAGCTGCAAAAGAGGATCATGAGATAATGCAGCCATTCGAATATCATATAGTTCCTTCCCCAGCCTGTTGTTGTACGTCTCTCGAAGTTCATCCACGTGACCACCATCCAGAGCTTCTTGTTTAAACAAGAATCTGGACTCATGATCAGGATTAAGTCCTGCACAAACTGTGACCCAGGGCAGAGATCGTCAAATTGTTTAAATATAACGTATATGGAAAACGATTGTGAAAGTAAGACATATTATTACCACAAAGAACGTTCGCCCATGTATCGTCGTTGGGCACGAAATTGACAATCCCCGGCTTCGTTAGCAGCGCGCTGACATTTTGGTTCCGTAATTTCTGGTTGGTGAAAAAACGTGGGAGAAATGACATCGGGGAAACAAAAGGGTTAATGACAACCTAACAAACTTCTAAAGAAAAATACTACTAACAAGAAACCTACTAGCCAATTCCGAGCAGGCTTTGTGACTTCTGCAAGCTTTTGAGTAAGAGTGCCTATGGTGACCAGCGCCTGCGCTGCAACGGCACTCTGCTGCTGAAACACTTCCTTGGCTTCCTTCGCGGCTTCGTCAGACTTGAGAGCCTGGAGCCGGATATCATCTGAGACTTTGGCTCTTTTTGTTGCAGGTTCGACATATTCTGGATTCGTGTAGTTGTCTTTTCCGGTGACCATATTGAGTAGACGCGCTCCGGTTTGCGAATGTCCTGAAATGATCATGGACAGTGGTAATTAGGCGATTTTGCAAGTAAAGTATGAACAAGGACTCCTAATCTACCTTACCAGCTGGAACCAGTACACCGGAATGCACATTTTCTGTGGCAGCTTGGGTGTTCGGAGTGGAAAGGCCGGATCCTTCATTATTTCCCGTGAGAGGCTTGTCCGATGCTAGAGCATGGATGACGTCTGATTGATCAAATTGAGGCACTTGTTGTGACGCTGTAAAATAAAAACAAGATATGCATTAGCTTGAAGTATATTGCAAGCCTTGTAAAATAGCGCATATACTTACCGTAAGTGGTTTTTTGGTCATTATTGTTGGCACTGGTGTTGTTGTCCTTGATGCCTGAACGTTTTTTCGTGGTGGCAAATCCCGTCAAAGGAAGGGACCCGTCTTCCAACACTTCCTCAGCTTCACCATGGGATGAAGGACCTGAAAAGAAGCACACAGTTAGAAACACACAAGAGTTCCATCAGTTGTTGCACGGTCACAGTTAGAAACACACATGCTGGAAAGAATACGTGCCTTCGGTTGACTTGGCGTATACCCTGTTGAGAGAAGCATACTGACCCCTGCCTCGTCCCGACGTGGACTGCCTAGCCACTGCCATCGCACTAGCGGGCACCGCGTTGTAATTGTTGGGCATGATGGAAAACAAGGAAGCTCTAAGTTAAAGTATAATGGAAACTGAAGTTGAAATTGGAATGCTACTGGGCTTTATAGAGTTGAAAATGTCACTTACTTTGATAGTTAAGCGGTAAAGAGGAGTTGTAATGAACCCAGTAATAGAGAAAGCACAACCAGGATTGGTTGCTATGAGTGTCATAAAATTGGGAGCAGGCAGTGCTATAACGAAGTAAACAACATGATGGCAAGGATGGGTCTGATAGGCTATGATAGCTGATGATGCAATGCTAGAATGGTGAGACAAAACTATCCAATAAGAAACAGCTGAAACTAAAAAATTCAAAAGTTCAAACTTCAGTAATAGAGATAGAGGAGGATGAAACACGTGGGAGGAAACAGAGAGAGGAGAGGAGGTGGTGATGGTTTAGAATGCATGAAGGAATCACTTCCTTCTCTTCCCGCCAGGGTTTGGCTTCGTGGATCGGGCTGTGCCTCCTATGTGAAAATCTGGGTAAGCAGTTAGTGACATTGTTCTAAGTTTCCCCTAAAGAAAACAGTTACATAGCATATTTCTGGACCTCCGCGATGTTGTTCTATTGTGTATTCAGCCTTTTTGCCTGGTTTTGCGTTTACAATGTAAAACGTTTCTCGACAAAAAAAAATACCTTGTCCGGTGCCGTGCATTTCGAACGAGTATGGGAGGTGATGGTACACCAGGCGATACGCGGCTGATGTGCTTGTGAACCGTGTCCGTGCAAAAACGGATCGCGCCGCGCAGCGCTCATCCCTCGCAAGGCTGCACAGTGCACTCTCGCGCGAGCTGTACAGTCAGGACAGGCTGTACAGCTGTACAGCTCAGCTAGCGAGGCTGTACAGTTTCATAGCTCATCCCCCGCGAGGATGTACAGTGCACGCTCGCTCGAGCTTGTACTGTGCAGGCTCGAGAGGCTATACAGTTGTTTCAGCTCAGCAAGCGAGGCTGTTCAGCTGTACAGCACAGCTGTGCACAATCGCGTCGCGAGCCCATCTCTCTTGAACCCATCCCATCCCTCTCGCAACACCCCCCCCCCCCACCCACCCTCTACGTAGTGGGCGTACAGCTTTGTTTGTCGCAACCCCCCCCCCCCCCCCCCCCCCCCCCACCCTCTACCCCCCACACCCCCCTGCACTATAGCTCAAAACTACAGGGAACGATTTGTACAGCTGACCGCATCGGAGGGGTGGTTCGTTTTCCAGCGCGCTTCTCTCATGCCAGCCTGTGCCTTGCTGGTGAGCTGTCAACTGCTTCTGCTGTGATTTGGCAAACGGACAAAGACGGCCACATAAACAATGAGACCAATGACAGCCACTTGTGGCGACTGCTTAGGGCAGGCCGTTTTTGCGGCTGGTAGAGCGTTTTTTGCCAATATGCAGAAGGGTCGGACGCACTTGTAATCAAGTGACGAAATATTGCAGATGCGAGATGGATTTTAGTTAAAATAATCGAACTCAAAACTGCTAACAAACATGACCACCAATAAACAAATCCCCAAGTAACAGAGTCCCAGGGGGCTAGTCAATCACATTCCTTTGCTCGGCTGCTATGGATCGTACGCTTTTGAAACCTATATTCCAACATACATCCAGTATGTGTATGCGAAAAACAAACACACATGAAAGATACTGCAATGACTAACAAAAAGGTAAACTGTTGAAAATCAGTAACATGAAAAGGTAAAATGCAAGTATATACAGGGAAAATCTATCTGAGAACATGAAGTTTCATAGCGACATGTAGCGCCTAAACACATTCAGCAAAAAAACGGCATCCTCGTTCTTGAAGTCTTCCGTCAATAGCACGACGTGCAGCACCCGAAGAAACGAAGTAACCTGGATAATGTCGTATGCATCCTCACCATCCAACCAAGTCACCCTGTCCAAGATGGAATCATCTAACGGGCCTAATACCTGATAATATCGGACAAACGCTACATGCTCGCTCTCCCTGACTTCCTCACGTCATTGAGTTTTGACGTTGTGAATTGTAAACAGCAAAAGGACCTTGCAAAATCGCAAAACCTTTCGTCCTTGACCATCTTTCACCTTGGCAGCAACATCAGAATACCATGGCTTCATATGGAACCGGGGTGTTGCGCGAGCATACTGTGCGTGACGATTATACAGCTCGTAGTTTTCACCAGGGGGAATTGCGACACCTCGATGAACATCAATACGGGCCTCGCATGTCTCTCCGGGCTTGATATACGCCGTAACTGCTCCCTTTAAGCGCTGCATATCGCATGGAGCAGTCTCGTTTTAAGCCCGCCACAGTTCTTATTTGTCCTCAATCAGTGATACAATAATGCGAAGGGTGCTTACGTTTTTGTCAGCTCGTCGAGGTGTGCAAGGCTATCTTCCGTGTGGTATGGCCGCAGCCATACCTCAGAGTGCCAGTACACGTATAGCGTGACCGTTCGTGTGATGTCCTTCTTGACATCAAGCACCTCCAGTATCACCGGAAGAACTTGCATCACCGCTTGATATTCCATCACCGCTTGATGTTCAAATGCTTGGAATGTCCCCTCGTTTGTGAAGTATCGTTTCGCATACGACGGAAGGCGGAACATGGATTGGCAACTGTAGCCGGTTATCCTGCGCATTGCATCATCCAGCTGATCTAGCAGCATAGGCAACATCGCACGAAGGCAATCGACGATATGCTTGAATACCCCAAGAAGTGATAAGTGCATGATATCGCCCATGAAAGTGCGGTAAGGATTCACCCACGACGTATTCCCATTCGGAAACCCCCATATTGCCACCTGCCATGGTGTGTATGCATGCGTATGTAGGGTCGTTAGGGGCGCATAGAAAGGAACATAAATGTTTCAACCTACGCGGAAAGAAACTCTTGACGTGGATAAGCAATCCAAGGATAGTGGCAAGCATTGCTTACATTGACAGCGTGTGTACTCTCTCGCGTCTCTGCTCTTGCAAGTCCACGGGTTGACGATTGATGCACATCCACTATCGCTTTTGTAAGAATTTGTCCTTGCTCAGTTCGATATGAGCGCTCAGCTTCCACGTTTGCCATGTTCTCTTTTGATACTTGGGCACGGAAACTGCGTTTAATGACCCCCCTTTGTCCCAGCTATCTTGCATTGCTCCGGATAGTCTCCCACGTAGGCATAAAGAAGCGGCCGAACCCATCGCAGCACACCGTATGGATCCTTCAAAGCAGCGCCCGTTTTCTCCTTCTCTTTCTGTTCCTCCAGCAAGATTGAAAGACATTCGTGTATGATTTCAAGACGTCGTCGCGTGGGATCTACTCCCGGATGCACATGGTGCTTTTGCAACGGTGGAAGCATGGCTGCCATTCTCCTGCCATGAGACTTCCACCTGTTTTTTTATGATGTGTTGCCAAGGGCAACATACACTGGATGTCCTGAAGCTCCACCATCCTTTGCAAGCTCAGTTTCATCTGAGTACAATATCACAGCTGCTATAGAAGCTCCCTCTGGAAGATCCTCAACTGCCTCTCTCCAAAACGTGCCAGTGGATGGATCGGTGTATCGATGCGGGTGTCTCTTCCGAATCTTCCAGCTCCGGTGCAATTATGAATCCCTCTGCATTAGCAGGATTAGTGTACATGTCCACCACGCAAGCCCACGTTGGACGCCACCAGAAAATCACCTCCGTCTTGTCCTCGCTTTGCCCGCAAGGTCAAGCCGTTGAAACGGTTGTAGCACCACCCGTTGCGTGAGAGATTCCTCTAGCTTGTCCACATCTGAGATGGTCTTCAGTGTGAGTTGTGCTCTTGCATCATGGAGTAATGTCAATAACTCCTTGATCAACTCTCTCGAGAGGCTGCTCCCACCATTTCCTGTTTTACAGAATCTCCAAAAACGACGATCTATGGACGTGTATGGTTCCACTTCACTAGTTGCATAATCTTGGCGCGGTTCTTCCTCGCATGGCATCGGGTCACTGCATGAAGGTACAGACGGCGTCACATGCTCTGAGGATGTACCAGGGCCTGGAGCTGCAGGCTCAGGCGTACTACGTGTGGGTGTAGGGGCATACTCGTGTCTACTACCACGAACATGATTTGTGCGCTCCACTTGTGTTGCAAATGTAACAATGCAGTCAGGATCGCTGCACGTGATTCTGAGGCGTTTTCTACCGTCCATTGCTAGTTGATCAGCTGAATGGAGTAATCACATTGCATTCTACATTGATGACGTACTAAAACATCATGATGTCGTATAGTTAGACTGACGGCTACGATGTTGTTTACGGCGATGAATGTGTGATGGGAGGGGCACGCAAGGCGGAGGAGGGTGAGGGCGGGCTGGGAGGAGGAAGGTGTGGGCGGGCTGGGAGGAGGAAGGTGTGGGCGGGCTGGGAGGAGGAAGGTGTGGGCGGGCTGGGAGGAGGAAGGTGTGGGCGGGCTGGGAGGAGGAAGGTGTGGGCGGGCTGGGAGGAGGAAGGTGTGGGCGGGCTGGGAGGAGGAAGGTGTGGGCGGGCTGGGAGGTGGAAGGTGTGATGGGATGGGAATGGGATGGGCGAGGGGAGAGGGGATGAATGGGATGGGAGGAAAGGGATGAGGGGAATAGGATGAGCGCGGGGGGGATGGGATGAGCGGGATGAGAGGACGGGATGGGGGGGAGTGGGATGAGCGGGGGGGGGGGATGGGATGAGCGGGACGGGAGGACGGGATTGGGGGGAGTGGGATGAGCGGGGGGGGGATGGGATGAGCGGGACGGGAGGACGGGATGGGGGGGAGTGGGATGAGCGCGGGGAGATGGGATGAATGGGATGGGACGAAGGGGATGGGGGGAATGGCATGAGTGGGGCGGGGGGGGGGGGGAATGGGATGAGCGGGACGGGAGGACGGGATGGGGGGGAGTGGGATGAGCGGGGGGTGATGGGATGAATGAGATGGGAGGAAGGGGATGGGGGGAATGGGATGAGCGGGGGGGGGATGGGATGAGCGGGACGAGAGGACGGGATGGGGGGGAGTGGGATGAGCGGGGGGGGGGGGGGTGGGATGAGCGGGACGGGAGGACGGGATGGGGGGGAGTGGGATGAGCGGGGGGGGATGGGATGAGCGAGACGGGAGGACGGGATGGGGGGGAGTGGGATGAGCGCGGGGAGATGGGATGAATGGGATGGGAGGAAGGGGATGGGGGGAATGGCATGAGCGGGGGGGGGGGGGGGGGGGGGAGGGGATGAGCGAACAGGAGGACGGGATGGGGGGGAGTGGGATGAGCGGGGGGTGTTGGGATGAATAACATGGGAGGAAGGGGATGGGGGGAATGGGATGAGCGGGGGGGGGGGGGGGGGGGGATGGGATGAGCGGGACGGGAGGACGGGATGGGGGGGAGTGGGATGAGCGTGGGGTGATGGGATGAATGAGATGGGAGGAAGGGGATGGGGGGAATGGGATGAGCGGGGGGGGGGATGGGATGAGCATGACGGGGAGACAGGATGGGGGGGAGTGGGATGAGCGGGGGGTGATGGGATGAATGAGATGGGAGGAAGGGGATGGGGGGAATGGGATGAGCGGGGGGAGATGGGATGAATGGGACGGGAGGAAGGGGATGAGGGGGATGGGAATGAGATGGGAGGAAGGGGATGGGGGGAATGGGATGAGCGGGGGGGGATGGGATACATGACATAAGAGGACGGGATGGGGGGAATGGGATGAGCGGGGGGTGATGGGATGAATGGAATGGGAGGACGGGATGGGGGGAAAGGGATGAGCGGGGAGAGATGGGATGAATGGGGTGGATGTTCGGAATGGGGGGAATGGGATGAGCTGAGAGGATGAGATGAATGTGGTAGCAGGGAATGGTGCGAGGGGGGAATGGGAGGACAAGAGGTACTGGACGGATGGGATGCGATGAACGTGGGATGGCTGAAAAGGAGGGTGGGGGGGGGGGGGGGGGGGGGAATGGGAAGGTGAATTGGATGGCAATTCACCCCGAAAGGCGAGGATGTGGGACGGCTGTTTAGGCGAGGAGTTTGAGTGGCGGGCTCGGGAGGAGGTGGGATCGCGGAAAGGCGAGGAGGAGGGATGGCGGAAAGGGGAGGAGGTGGGATAGCGGAAAGGAGAGGAGGTGGGATGGTGGAACGGCGAGGAGGTGGGATGGCGGAATGGGGAGGAGGTGGGATGGCGGACAGGCGAGGAGGAGAGATGGCGGAAAGGGGAGGAGGTGGGATGGCGGAAAGGGGAGGAGGTGGGATGGCGGAAAGGCGAGGAGGTGGGATGGCAGAATGGGGAGGAGCAACACTTGTGATGGATTCGAATGTATTTGTGAGATTTGCATGGACAGGCGAGCGTGAGCCTTGCTTTCGCGGCGCGTTCAAGAAGTGTTTGATTGGACTGGACAAAAGTCAGTTGCCTACTTTCATCCAATGCCAGATCGCCATGCGACGAGCCGCGACGCTTCAGTGCTCTGGACCGAACAACTCTATTCACCTTCGTCCAATACTAGATCACCAACGCTAGATGACCAATGCTAGGTCACCACGCCACAAGCTCCGACAAACTTGGAACACAGGATCAATCTGTCCAGTTAACGTGCTGGGATGGAACATTGAATCCAGATAAGCACCACTGCCGTTGCAACACGTGGGGATGTAAACGATGTTAGACACATACTATGTTTTTAACACAAATGCATGTTAGTGCATCTCTAAAAGCCGATACTTCATTCCTGGTTCTTATATAATTTGAGAAACCAAGAGAGGAGTACAATCATTTAAATCATACTGTAGGCAGATATATATAATTATAAATAATTACATTTCCATGACAACCCTAATTATTTCCTATTTTGTCGTAAGCGCACCCGTCCTCACCTTTCGACTATGGTGGTATCTTCCGTCACATGCAGTAGGATTAGCATAGCATCGATGTTTTATCATATGACTAGACAATTAAATACAATAATAATGTAATATTCGCATTAAGGACAAACAAAATATCTAGTAATGGGTTGACAAGGATTGACGTTCGAATGTAGCATTAATGATCATGTACAAACTAAATATTATTGTAAGTGGGACTACAGTTTCTATTACACACACTAAATCCAGATTTTATCAAAGCTTCCCAAACCCTCCTGACTAGTGGGAAATAACGCACCAACTTCTACACGAAGCACTTGCGGAGAGTCACTCGACAAAGTAGTGAGCTAGACTACGGGGGGGGGGGGGGGGGTTGGCACGAACTACTAGGAGTGATCGTAGCTTTGCTTAGCTCCTTAGCGCTTGCACATTCACGGGAGAAATCGGCAAGAGTTTCACTAGGCAAAGATTGCATTACAGAATGACTAATCAAGCAATGGCCGAAATGACTACATCAGGCACCTAGCAACTCTGCAGCTAGCCTGGTCGACCGCCAGCACTGCATGGTCGACCGCCTACCAGTGTTGCGTAGAGGAGCCACGCCAGCACTGCAGAAAGGCGACCTGCCAATACTGCAGGTCGACGGCGTGCCAACGCTGCAGCAAAGCGGCTGTCCAGCGTTGCCCCGCAGAAGACAGCAGTGCGCACGCTCGCAGGTGCGTGCAGACGATTGGCCCGACTTGCATTGTTGTGCATCCGTCGGCTGTTGTCTGCGCCTGACGAGCCACATCGACTTCGGGATACCAGCCCGAAGTCGCCTTCATCACCGTGACCTCGACAATGTCCGCATGCCTCCACAGAACTTGCCGAGCAGGTTACCTGGTCGACCTGGTCGACCACCAAGTGTTATGGTCGATCACCAAGTGTTATGGTCGACCACCAAGGGCCTCTGGTCGACCACCTAGTGCCTCTGGTCGACCACCAAGTGCCTCTGGTCGACCACAGCTCCCGTTGAGCTACCCCCTGGTCTATGGACCCCTCCGTCGACCAGAACTATCATCTGTTGCCGCTGAGCTCCCCTCGTCGAACGGTGCTCACATGTCAGGTCGACGGACTGCTCCGTCGACCTCCCCGTCGAACTGCTCCTCCTGGTTGACGGCCCACTTGTCGACTAGCCCAGTCAGCTGCAACCGTCGAGCACCCCTGGTCGACGGCAACACCACAGTGATCCCTGCAGCTTGACGAAGCCCGTCGAGCAGCTCCGTCACTGTGAACGGTCGGCTGCTTCTCCCGTACATCCGACCAAGTCGTCGGCGTTGCCCAAGCGAGGGCGGGGCCAACACTCCATTCCCGTTAACTGCACTTGGCTGCTGAACCTGTTTTTTCCCCTCCAGGCTGCGCCGGACCTGCCATTCACCCCTCAATCTGCCCGCATATGCCAAACATCTTGACAGGACGCGTGTCACGAGATTGAGTTGGGCAACATTTCGAGTTTTGACCAATCGCGACTGACCAGCAATGCACAATCAATCGTTCTTCAACTCAACCTGCAGCCGCGATATCACACAAGTACAACCCAACGTCCGATTCATGAGCTCTCCAGAGCAAAGGAGCAGCGCTGGCACATGAGAAATTGGAAAAGACAAGAATGGGCATAAGTCCCCACCCCACTCCTTACTCAAGCATCCGCACCAACACCACACGCCCACCCCGTCACCCCAGTCGCGCGGACACACGAAAGCTGGAAGGGGCCTTGGCGAACTTGGCGAACATCGCAAGTGCATGCGACCATATGATTGAGAGTGCTTGCGAGGGTTTTTGCTGATGCCCTGCGGCTTTCGTAACCGGCCTTGGCAAACAGAACCTTCGCACTTCACCTGTCATTCCCACCACCTCGAACCCACCCCGTGGTTCGTCTTCCTAGTGCCCAGAGCCTCGCAAAAGCCGAACAGGTATTGGTCAGTCGTGTGTAGGCTCGAAACAGACACAGACCACATTTTCAGCCACAGACTGGTCAATCATAGACCCTGTTTGTTATTGTTACCAGCCTCGAGATTCGAGAAAGCCGAAGTTCCGATCAGCTCGGCGCGCATTAGGGCGTGTAAAATCGCCAACCTGCTGAAATTTGCCAAATCCGTCGGGCCGTTGTTGGCGAGAGTAACCAGCTGACGACGTTCGAGAGGAAATTTACGAGCGTCGTGAACTTCGTGAATATTTTGCGAATCTGATGGCCGTTTTCACGTAACGACTCAGAACCGACGGCAAGTCGACTCCAAGTCGGCCACGTATCCGACCAGTCGTTGCGACAATCACATGCCAAGTCGCCGTGTTCTCGTGCCCAATCACAGAATGCCCCAATATCGAAATCAAGTGTGCGACACAGTCGAACAACCCTAAATCTGCAAATTTTACAACTTTTTCGAATCGGCCAGCAAATCGTGCACCAAACCTGTAAAAATTGCGGATCTGCTAAAGGTGGCTGAAAATGTGACGACACGAAAGTCGACCATTCTGTCGACTTTCGCAAAAACAACGTCGACCATATGGACGACGAATATCCGGCCAAAGCCAATTTTCGCATGTGTGCTCCATGGTGAGAGCAGACATTTGTAAGGGCGTGTCTCCCTTTTGCCCCCGACGGTTCGAACCGTTGACAGTTCAAACCGACGAAAGGTTACCCGCATACCGTAGTTTCGTCATATGTTTCGTGAAACCGTTTGCGACGTCGCCAACGGTTCGAACCATATCGTCATTTTTCCCTCGCTTCAACGGTTCAGATTCTGAACTTCTGACGGTTTGAAATGCAAACGAACGGAAGAACAGTGTTGTGATGGGACTGGCGCGCGAGCAACACTGAAACAAAAATCCGAGTCGCCATGTCGAAATATTTGGGGCACGTGACGCGAACTCAAACATTGGACAGGAACATTGAACTGCCCTCCAGTACTACAAAACCACCCACAATCCGAACCGAGCCTTCACATCACTCCCACAATGGAGGACTCTAGTGCTGCTCAGAACACTGAACCGCGAAACACCTCACCCAACACCTCGCCTACTACTCCCCCTAGTGACCCACCCCCTGCTGCAGATCTACCAGAGACACAAGACCCTCGGATCTATGTTAGAAAACGAGTCGCGTGGGAAGACGGGCGAATTTGGCTAGCAGTCGTCACCTCGGTAACAACACTACTGTATCTCTGGCGAGGCTACATTACCTCGTCAAAACGCCCTAACCTGAAAAAAATGATAGTTATGCATCCGAACGGTGCAAAGTTTTGAATCTCCAGTCGGACGGTCCGATACCCGCTATTAGGACCGTCCCGTATGAAATAAGTGGACCGTCCGGAAAACACATAAAAAAACATAGTGGAGACACGCCCTAATGCTTTGCTTGCTGGAGCATGGTGCCTTTTCCGGCTTCTCCTAGCCTGACGGAACTGCTAGTATACATTCTTGCTGCTGCCACGTAGCCTAGGCCCGATGCTCTAGCCGCCTGTCTTTCGTTATTGTCAACAGAACTGTGACTGTGACTCACCTTTCCTTCGAGCCGCCTACAAAGACTTGTGTTTTTCCCCGTCTACTTCGAGCCGCCTCAAATTCCAGCTGATCACGAGCGCGGATGGCTAAACTGCAGCATCCCTACCTTTCCCAGCATATTGCGAACGGTATATCGAGCGGAACTGTAGAGACCTCACCGAAAGTTGCGGCCTCGGTTTTTGAAAAGCGAATCTGAGGGTTTGAAGCCCGGCTTCAGGAAAACGACTGAAACTAAGGAACCCTAGTAGGCGGACCGTGCGAGTGAAGAAGGTGACTTGAGAGTTTTGCTACTAGTGGCGTCTCGGCAACTGATAATGAAGCCACTGGTTCCTGCCAAATCCGATTAGCCACGCAATGTTTGGTGATCAGCAAAGCTGTGTAAGCACAACAGGAGAAGGATAGGGATATTATTAGGACATTAATGAAGAAAAGTGTGGAACCCCGCGGCGGAAGCAGAAATCATCACGGCCGCGGCAAGGTGGCGAGTGGGAACCCCGCCAATGCGGAGATAACAAATTCAATGGGAGCTGGACTGCGGGCTAGGCACAGGGCGTGAGTGATCTCTGCGTTCGTTCCTTAGTCGTTCTTTAGAACTTGTGCATTCACAGGGCAAAACCGCAAGAGTTTCACTAGTAAAAGTTGAGAACAATGGTAGCAACAACATTGGCATGCAAGACTACATCACAGCTAGCTAGGCTGCTGGTCGACCTCCAGCGCAGCAAGGTCGACCTCGGTCCAGTGCTGCAGAGCTCGCACCGCTCCAGCGCAGCAGAGATGCGGCTTGCCAACGTTGCAAGTCCACGGTGTGCCAATGCTGCAGCAAGTCGGCTGCACAGCGTTGTACCCGCAGGACAACGGTGCACCTGCTTCGCAGGTGCGCGCGGTCGGTTGGTGCACCACGACTTGTCACGTGCAGAGCGCAGACGCCTGGAAGAATCCACGCCAGCAACTGCGCCCACCAGCCACGTCGACCTCAGGATACCACCCCGAGGCCGGCCTCGCAGAAGCCACCCCGACGACCCTCGCACACATCGCCCGGGTAACTTGGTTGACCGGGCAACCATGCCTGGTCGTCCAGCCCAATCGGTCGCCGGCTACACCAGACCGGCGTCCCCATAATCGGTGTCTCAACACTTAAGTCGGCGTCGTGACGCACCGGTCGGCGTTCAGGCGTCCAGGACGCCGTCCAGACGCCCAGGTCGGCGTCCACTCGCCAAGAACGCCGTCCAGGCGCTCAGGTCGACGTCCACTCGCCCAGGACGTCGTGCGGACGCCAAGGTCGGGGTCTAGCCTCCCAGGACGCCGCCCAGACATCTATGGCGGCATCCTCCTGCTCGGCGCCCTCACGCCCGTCGACCAGCTCGCCCAAGTCGGGGTCGCCCACTGCTGAAAGTCGGCTCCGCCCAAGCAAGGACAGGGCCACCACAACCCCAGATGACACTCCCATGTTGCGTTCACGATTGGCCCCCCAGCCCACACAGCAGCACCACTCGGAGAATAGCCCGTCGGCGTGCACACA